TATTAGAATTTGGTTGTTATAACTTAAAGCAACAGCAGTGACTTTATGGAAAAAAGTGATTAATTATGTTTCTTATCTTATCTTATATCTTATATAAATAATAAATTGCTTTAAAGTTAAAATAAACATTAATCCAAATAGGAAGTTATCGTATACATGCATGTAATCTTCGTTTTCTTTGTGCCTAATCTTTTGTGTGTATCTTGTGATCTTAGAATCAAAGTGTGCGATTAATTGGCATCATGTAGAACTTGTTTCCCGTGATCTTGACTTTTCTCTTAATTTTGTATTAAAGAAGGTTAATTAAATCCAAAAATTGGAAATAAATGCATTCTATTTTACCAGTTAATGGGTGACAAAAAATCAACCAAGGGGGTGTTCAGCACCCACCTTTTGGCAACAGGAGCGTTTAGTTTTTAGTCTAAAAAAAACTTCAAAATCAAAAGCTACATGAAGTAGCTTTCAACAAAAAAAACTCCAAAATCAAAAGTTATCCGCTACCTGCTGCTAGCTACCCGCTACCCGCTAACCGCTATCAGCTATCTGCTACCAGCTAATTTTGCCGAACACGTCAAGTCTCCAATAATGGAGGCAACTCGATCTTAGACTTATAAGACGATTTTTAAAGTAATGTAGTTTAATTACAATATTTTGAATTAGTAATCGAAATCCATGTATGACATTTTTAATTAGGTTATTTGTAAACAAAATTAGTTATCTTATGTTTTATATTAATTTAATGGATTAAATGAGTAACTTTAAAAAACTTATACGACTTTAAAGTTGCATTAAAAGTTAATATAGTTAGATTATTATCATATTAGATCGTTTTTTAATTATAATGTATCCAGCTTATGATTATTATGTAAAAATGACGTGACCCACAAATTGTCGCATCTAGCATCTACCAACGGTACACAATAAGTTTGATGTTCTCTTAATCACAACTACCAACTATCTACTCTACTACGAGTTGTATCAAATCCTCTTTCCTAATCCATGTTTTAATGTTTCTCGTCTTATATAGACAAACTTATTAAATATTCATGTATACTTAGACAAAGAGATATCACCTTCATAATGTCTAGCCCCAAATCTCTCTAAGTAACAATGTACATAACCTCATTACATGACTTATGAAGTTCCTTTGTAAATTGAGTTATTTGTTTTATGAATTTCAATTTAAAGGGTTTGAACTGTTGGTTGACACACGGGCAATCCGATTATGAATAATCTAAACCATTAGTTTATAACTTGGTAATCCAAATAACTACCTTAATAAGCTAAATAAGAATTCAGATTTCAAAGTACGAGTGGCTTGAAATTCAGTTTGAGTTAAAATCCTAATATCTTTTAAGTAAAGTTTTAACTACAGGCAATTTTGACACCATTACTCTTTTTGCCGGTTAGCCGGTAGTTAAGACTTTACTGTAAAAAAAAAAAAAAAAAAAAAAAAAAAAAAAAAAAAAAAAAGATTACGACTATCTTATCAAATCGTTGAAAATATTGAGCCTTTAGTCTGTAATCTTAGGTGGTGTTTGTTTTTTGTCTGCAGATCTGCGTGGCCTCTTCTATCTGCGTCTCGCAGACCACATGCAGACATTAGCCTTCGTAGACTGTTTGTTTTTTTTAAGACTGCAGACCTAAAAATGTCTGCGCGACCAATTATTTGGCGCAGATGTGGACCAGAATCCTCTAATATTTTCTAGCCTAAAAAACATATATATCTTAATTTTTTGTAAGTTTTTTTTTTTTTTAATTTATAATTTTTCTAACTTTATCAATGATAACTGAGTTGTTTATATAAATATGAAAAAAAATCATAATATATTCTTATATTTATTGCCAAATTTTATAAAACATTATTTAATACAGTATCATCAATTTCTCGAGAAAATATTTATGGTACGTTTTTAATGGATTTAATTGAAAAAATCAAAATTTATTTTCATCCATTTATGTATCAAATTCTTTGATCACTAATTATAATGTTTAGTTATAACTTTTCAACCAAAGTTGTTGGTTTTTATAAAATATATACGTTAATTCATACCATTTTTTATTTTTTATACAATAATACATAAAAGTTGTTATACATTCGTTAATTATTTATAACAAAGTCATAAAAATATTAAAAAATCACTTTGAAGTTTAAAAAAAATCAGTTTATTTAAATTTCAGTTTATTTTAGTAGCTCGTAGATGTTAAAAAAAACAAACAATCTTCCTTTTTCAGACTGCAGACGTTTGGTCCACCTCTTCTACTGCAGAGGTCTACAGATGTGGTACGCAGACTACAGACATTTTATCACAGAAAAAACAAACAACATCTTAGTTTCCCTACAAACAAGTAATTTTATCAACCTCATGAGACCTAATTCATAGTCCAATAACTTTTAATTGTAATTTTCGACGCATCACCATTGTTTTTCTTACCATCATCATCCTTGCACTGCTACAATCACGATCAGGGAAAACAGATGCAAAAGAGAGAACGTGAGAGGGTGAGAAGACTTGTAAAACTTTCTTCTTGGTTTGCCGTTAAATATTGAACTGAAAAGAGGAGACAAATTGTACAAACACAAACAACACACGCCTAGTCAAAAGATTGTGAATGTGGAGAAGAGGTAAGAAGAGGAGTTTCGTCTTTTCCAGTTTCTTAGATCTCCATTTTTAGAACTACAAAAAGTCAACACGACATTTATTATTTCACTCTTTCTTGACTATCTCTATTTTTTTCAATGTCGGCTTTTTTAGATTAAAAAAAACTATTTAACAAAAAGCAAAAATTAAGAATTCCAATAAGATCTAGCTGATCAGGTTCCATAAACTCTTATTCTTAAATACTATCATACCATTAAACTTCTAACAAAAAAAATGATATATACACTAAAGTTCTGATATTTTCAACGATTTGATAAGAAAGTCTTAAGTTTTATTTTTTTGATAGTAAAGTCTTAATTACCGGCTAATTGACGAAAAACAGTAAGTGTGTCAAAAGTTACAGGTAATTAGGATTTTACGGTCAAAAAAATAAATTTAGATTTTCTTGTCAAATCATGGTTAAAAATATTAAGACTTCACTATATATATTCCTTTGTGATATGTCAAAACTCCATAAAAAATATCTTTTTGAGACTACAGCTTTTATATATATATATATATATATATATATATATATATATATATATATATATATATATATATATATATATATATATATATATATATATATATCCCTTTTTAATAAATAAATAACTTCAATACCATGCTGTCATGTGTACAATTTGTATACTGCCACGTGTAACCCTCTCAATAATATCTTCCAAATTTTTGTTACAATTACTAAATACTAAATAACTATATTTTATTAATTTCTGCCTACAAATCAGTAAATCACGTTTAATCAACCCTCTAAATAACCGGCATTTGAATTTAAATATAAATTTTAAATATACAGTAAACAAATCAATTAGAGCCGCATATAATATCCCTAATCCCTAATTCCCTAATATACAATATATACAATAAACAAAATCATTAAATCACTTTCCCTCTCTTAAACCTCTTTAATTACGTGATTGACTGCCACTATTTTGTTGCCTTTAAATTTTAAAGATACGCAATATTAAAAATTACATATATAATATCCCTAAAAAAAACAATTGATATCCCAATATCCCCCTCTTAAATCTCTTTAATTCCATGATTCATTGCCACAATTTCGTCAATTAAAAATATTCGGTTTACTTTTTCCTTTTTTACTTTAAAAATCATAGAGATATAAAGATATTATAGAGATATAGAGATATCGAGATATCATATCTCTGCAAATCAGCTATTCAAATTACAAATACTTTTATCATTATACCTATAAATACGTATAACGATCGATCCAGAAAAATGTTTTCTTCACTTCTCTCTTCAAAGCTTTCAGAGTATTTTTCTTCTGCATCTCTGCATATACATTCATAACGATCCATCAGGTTAGTATACAAAACTATTCACTTCCATCGTGCTTTTTTTTCTTAAACAATAATCATATTGACACTATTTTTTTTTTTTAAAACATTCATCACATATGTAATCTGCATAAATATTTTTTACTATATTGTTGTTTTTTAAGCTTTTATGTATATTACATGTTGTTTAAATCTTTTAAACACCTATTCAAATAATAAAAATTTAGACTACATTGCTATTTAATGTATATAGTTCACTTCCATAGCTATGTCGTTGTAACTATATTGTTATTTCTCACTCTAACTACATTTTTATTGCTCACTAAATTCTTCACTTCAACCCTCCTTTTTTTTGAATTGATAATAATACATGTAAACTTATGTCATTACATTTTATGAATTATGTCACTGTAAAACAGAATAATTTTTTTATATTCATGTCATCTAAATAAAAACAGAAATATATGATAATAATAATAAAAATTTTATATATTACATGTATATATATAGTTACTCACCTTTAATTTTATCAATTATGTCACTGTAAAACATAATAGTTACTCACCTTTAAGTTTCACTTCATTCGTTTTTTATTTTGATAAACAGGGAATATTTTTCTTTACTTTTTTTTGTCATGTATTTATAATATCTCCCTATTTTACAGATTCATGGTTGCTGGTGATTTTACTCTCATACGTGATCTTGATGTCTTGAAGGACAGCTTCACTATGAAGCTTCGTATTATCAGATTATGAACACTAGAAGATTATTATAAGAAAGATGAAATTTTCGCCATTCAACTTATTCTAATGGACGAACAGGTCCACTATATATGGTTTTAATTATTTACATGTTTATATTCATGTTTTTCTTTTTAACTTTTTAATTTAATAACCAAACTTGACTTTTCATGTTAACATAAATCATCATTTAGGGTAAGAAGATCCAAGGTTATGTCCTCAATGCTTACATTTACAAGTTTCGAAAAGTTCTAAAAGAAGGGGAAGCTTTTTTCATAAAAAATCCAAATTTGGCAAAGATGGATGAAGGAAAATTTCAATTAACTGATCAAATGCAAAAGCTCACCTTCACTCATGAGACTACTGTTGCTCCGTGTGTCGATTTTTCTGGATCAATTAATGGGTTTGCTTTTATTGAGTATCATTCCATTATCGTCGGCACTGTTCCACTAAATATTTCATTGGGTTAGTATTTTTTGTTTACCTAAGAAATTATATATATTTTAAATAAGTTAATTTAATTTAATCTGTTTTTTTCTGTATTAATGTTGATATATAGATGTTATCGGTTTCGTGGTCGCAATTGGTAAAATTGATGCTCGAAATGAAGATAGAAAGAGGCATAAGATGAGACTACAAATCCAAGACGTCAAGTTTGTTTTTATTACCTATAATAAAATAATATAATTATTGTGTATATTAACTATTTTGATTGCAATATCAAAAAAATTAATTATTTGCTATTTCTAATTCCCATCTTTTTTGTTAGTGGTTCTCAATTGGATGTTAACCTATGGGGAGATTATTGTTACAAATTGAATGAATACATCCAAAAGAATCCAAACATTCTTCGCATTGTCATAATCCTTCAATTTGCAAAGATTAATCTGTGGCAAGGTATAATGTTTTTTTAATTATGATTCATATTGCAATGACTATTTTCTTTCTTTATTTATTTTTTTGTTTTTTATAGATCGGCGATATGTTAATACATATTATGATGTAACAAAGTTCATCATCAATACTGAAATTGATGAGATAAAAGTTTTCAAAAAAATGTATATTACTTTATGTTATTTTTATGTTAATAATAAATGCCAATGTATGTTATAAATGATGTAACTATGTGGTTAATTAACAGTTTGAATCAAGATGGTCCCCATGAAAACTCATCCAGTACTTTCTCCTATATGAAATCTAATCGAAGTTCCTATATGAAATCTAATCGAAGTTCTGACAAGGATGATTTTGTGCTTAATCATGAGCTGAAAACAATCGCTGATATTTTCGAACCAATTGAGGTAACAAAATTCTGAAATTTCTATCAATCTTTCTAATTTATGTTTTTAAGAAATTATTTATGTAATTAACACATTTCGTTATTTATTACATTTTCAATATCAGCGTTTAAATTATAATATTCATTACTTATAATATTATTGTATTTTTTAAAATCAGATAAAAAAGTATGTTATTGTTGCGACCATAAAAGGAATTCTTCAGCACACATCTTGGCATTACCCGGCATGTACAAATTGCAATACAAAGGCGGTTCCAAAAAATCCTTCCAATGAACCCAGTCTCACCGGATCACTCAAAAATGAAACATATGAATGTCGAAATCCAAAATGCACAAAAACTGAAACATTAACAGTTCCGAGGTTAATACATTTTGAAAAACATTTTGAAAAATATAATAGTAATTTCCCCATCATGTTGACTAATTTTGATAATTTTACATTTCTTAAAAGGTTCATGATTCCGGTAAGAGTTCAAGATCATACTGGAAGTATGACTTTAACAATGTTTGAACAAGATGCGAAAAAGCTTCTAAAAATTTCTGCAAAAGATTTGGTTGCAAAAACAGCTAAGGTGGATGTCTTTCAGATTATTATTTAAAAATAAATTATTGGTAATATATATATAATTACATCTTTTTATATTTTACTTGCAGCTTGGCTTTTGTACTAACGCATACCCGTCAGATATTAATGTGTTGAAAGATATGAAATTGGCTTTCATAGTTTCTGTTTCGAAATACAATGTGCAAAGGAACACCAATCAATATACTATTTCCAGGATTAGTGATGATGAGATATTGATTGAGGAGTTGGAAAAAAAGTTTGTCATTGCAGAGGTTATTATAATTGATTTTTTTTTCCAAAATATAATATACTAATAAACAGGTTTATTAATTATTCATTTCTTTTTTGAACAGGGAGTTAATTCACAATCGTTTGAACATGGTACCACTGATTGTGAATCTCAAGATAACATATTTATAAAGGTGTATTATAAGTAATCTAAATATCTCATGTTAGTATTATCTTTAACTTTAATAAACTCTAATATTACTTTTTTTGTTTTTTAATTTTAGGATGCCATATCTCAGACTGATGATAATGTGACACCAATGAATGTTTTCAAATCGACAGCCACAAGCCCAAAAAAAAAAATTTAATGAATCAAAAGGTTTGAAGCGAGCTCTTGAGGATGATTTTTTTTTTGGATGTCAATGACAACATGTCATCATCAAAGACTATGAAAGCCAAAGGAGGAGGGGAAGGTGGGCAACACAAACTTGTCAAAGTTAAGTTGGAAAAGTGATTCGTCACCTACCTTTTAAGAACAAGAATCAGTTTTTAAATTTTTTGCTATGGTTTTTAAGACATTTTAATTTTTTTGGTAAGAGATTTGATGGATTTGGGAGTTTCTTGGTTTACATTGATTGTTTCTTAATAAATTTGATAATGACTCTATATTATGTGTTATTTTCTTAATAATTTGCTTCCTATTTGTTAAAAACTACAATCAGTAAATCACTATCATGCTCATTAAAATATATTGCTATTTTCTACAAAATTTTATAAGTAAAGAAATTCATACCTTTTTTATATCTTCATTGTTGACTTTGAAGGATTTACAGGAATTGATGTTTCAGAAACTACAATAGACCACATGGAACTTTATAAATTAGTTTATCCGTCAAAAAAAATTGAAATATTAAAAATTAACATAAAACAATAGTTACAAACATGTGATCAATAGAAACTTATGAAGGAGAATGGATGGGATGATAAAAAGGAAAAACCTTAATCATTTAAATTTTCGAGAAAGCTTTGTCAGTTCCTGAAGATCAATTCAAACATAATGACAACATAGTTAGGGAAGTTAAAAAAAGCAAGCATAATTTGATTTACAGTTTAACACGCAACAAAAAAAAAAACAATTCTAACTTACAGAATAATAACGTATCAAACCTGCTGACATTTGTTAAATTCTTCTCTCTTAAAATCTTCAAGGGGACAACACTGAGAAATACCTCCTTTAGTCATGCTGCATGTGTACACAAATTGAAACATGTCACACCAAACCTAAGATGCTAGATATTGCATGATTAAATAGAGAACTTGCACAAACTTACTTTACATCATAACTATTCATCTATTAGAATAGAGATCATACAAACAGTTAAAAGAAAAAAAGAAAGAAAGCCAAACAACCTGACAACGACTAATCAGTAGATAATAACCAATAATTAATAGGGAATAATTTTTTTATAACAATATAAAAGAAACAGATAAACAAAGCCCGACAACACAATAAAAAAGTTTTGCACAGTATGCTTATGCTTGGGTTGCACCATTGCTGTTTTCTTCTCTAAAATGTGTATATGCTTTTATCTTATTTGCTGTTTTTTTCTCTGAAATGTGTAAAATGACTATAACGCCCTAATGTAAAAACACAACCATGAAATTACTAGATCAATTACTTGTCCCCTCTGTTTCTTCTTTTTTAGCATGTCCATAACAATAGCTTCAGGTACAATCAGTACCTAAAATCTGTCAATAAGGATCCAACATGGGAACAATAAACAATGAGATAAATTCCTTTACTGACAACTTTTAACATTACTTGAATAAGAAGCGAGGTGAAAAGGATAATACTATTTACTTTCATTCAAAAATCTGAAATCCATCATTTATCTACATTATGTCTTCCAAGCGGGACAAACTCAGAGCCTTCACTACAAGAATAAGAGACAGCAGAAAGTGAATGTCAATATTTGTAAAACAGAACCAAGTTGTTTCAGCACAACGGATACTTTGGCTAATGGGAATTATATATACGATCAGGTTTAATGTCAGGTGTTATGGTCGGAAAACGCCCAACAGGGTTGTCACTTTCCAAAAATACCCTCAATCCATAATGAGTCGTTAGGAAAGAACAAGTGGCAAAACTACGTGTTTTCTAAAAACCTTAAATTTCAGAATAATAAAAAAATCCATTCTTTCATATTCGAATTTAAGTGATCCGGTGACTTTTCAAATCATTTAGAAGCAGTCGATCCACAATTTCAGGCAACAATTTAGGAAATTTAGCAAACCAAATATACACAAAAAATTACTTATCTTTTTTACTATATAATCAATGACGTCTGACTTGGACATCTTCCCTTTGCATTCAATTTTACGATAAATCGATCCTGTCAGGAGTGAAAAATATTAAAAATCGAAAAGTATTCAAATAAAGTTTAAACCCTAGATCCAAAAAACCTAAATACCTTTTGCTGATATACGTTGATCACGCTCTAATCCCTCTCCGTTCTCAGTCCCGACTCTCTGTCTTCACCCTCTTCTTCAACTGTCGGCATGTCGCTTGCTAACTGAGTGAAATAAGTGTTACAATCCCCTTCGATTTTTGCCTCCGTCCGTCAGCCTACGATAAAGGTCCGTCGGTAGACTAATACGGCGTCACTACACTATAGGACTCTTTAAATCCCGTCTACCACTGCTGCACGACTCTTCGTTGGTATAAGTTCCCCTTCGATTTCATCATTTACTTCACTGTATTCTTTGTCTTTGAAGATAAGTTCCCGTGGTATTATTTTTGTGATACAGAAACAACTTTAAGAAGAGGGTGAAGACAGAGAGTCCTTTAATATTTTTGATATACAATTAGAATTGTTTATTTTCTATTTGTTGTAATAAACTTTTATAATTTATAATCTAATTCGTTCCTTTTTAAATTTTGGTTAACATTATTTATTGAATCCTTTAATATTTTTATTTTCATTGGTTAAAAAGTAACTAATTACCAATTTCTATATTTGTACTTTGAAAATAAATTATATTATTTTTTGGGTTCCCGGTTGATATTGATTAAATCTCACAGTTGGTAACATTAATTGAAGGCCATTGCAATCACCGGACATTTTCAAACCTATTTTTCATTTATACAAAGACATGAGGGTAAAATATGATCATTACCTTTTTTTCAATTACTTTTAAACTACTCATCATATTTTATATTTGTTTTATAATATTTGTTATAATTGTAAAGTTATACATAACTTTTATTTGACCTCCCATTTGTATTTTAAATTCTAATTAAATTTTTTTTATATACAGATGATAGAATATACCATGGATTTCAGCTAAAGAACGACGAAGATTAAGGAAACTATATTTGGATAATAGAAGATTTAAAAAAATACCTACTATATCAGACGGTCATACTTCATCTACCTCAACACCTTTTAACAGTACCCAAAACGGTAATTTATTCGTATGTTAATTTTTTTTTTGTATAATTACTATGTTATTTGTTAAAAAATATAAAAATTTTAAATCTATATAATTAATTAATATTAATGTTATTTTCCTTATTAACTATATTTCAAATTATATGTAGCTAATGTCTTCGGTCATCATCAACATTTGAAAAGTAGCTATAATAAAATTTCTCAATATCATTGCTCAACCTTTCAATCTACTTCAAATATCAATTATATGACTCCCCTATCCAATATATCAAATGGTATGTATAATTTTTATTATTGTTATTATACATGGACTATTCTTTCACATTACAATAAGTATATGATTAAAAACTAACATTTTTTTTTCGGCTTTATCTAACAATCTTATAAAGGTCCAACATCCTCATCCAAGCAGTTTTCTCAAGGAGTGCACAAATTAAAACAAAAGTCTGCACATATATCTCCTATACGTATGTTCGACCTAACAACAGGTGATCATATTAACGATCCACATATTCTCTATGCATACATGCAGTTATATCAAAAACCAATCATAATAGATACAAACATAACTTACAAACTTAGCTTATAGATTATATTTTAATTAAACTTTCTTTCTATTATAGATTATGAGAGAAAAAATGATTCTTCTTCAGCTAAAGAGAAACGAAAAGTAAGGAAGTTATATTTGGATATTAGAAAATATAAAAAGAAATCAACCATATCAAACGGTCAAAGTTCGTCTGCAACGCCACGTGTTAACACGAGCCTCAACGGTAATTATTTTGTGTGATTTACTTATTTTTATTATCCTAACAATATGTTTTATGAAATTGCCCAATTGTGTTTAATTTTCATTATTATTAAACAAAGTTAAAATTATATGCAGGTGATGTCTTGAATCGGCATCAACATTTAAACTCATCAAAAAAGCTCACACATATTTCCTCTCAAAAGGAAAATATCACCTCTTGCAAGACTCCTCAATATCATTCTACAACATTGCCATCTCCTTCAAATCTAAATTTTAGGACTCCACTTTCCAATATCTCAAATGGTATGTATATTTTTTTTTATTATACATACAATATTATTTTATATTACAATAACTACATGATTACCATATTGTTTTTCTTTCAGCTACTTATAGCAGTCAACATAATGTGCCAACACACTTATCAAGTAACCGACGATTTTCATCATCTTCTAATTCCAAGAAATCAAGCAATTTTTCGACGATCACACACAATCAAAATTCTTCACGAGTACACAACTCAAAAAGAAAGTTTGCACATATATCTCCTATACCTATATTTGGCTTAACGAGAGATGATAATATTAATGGTGGAGATATTATCCAACCGACACATGTTGGTATATCAACAGGTAATAATCATAAACAACATTTTACATATTTTATGTTGGTAATTATAAATTTATTATAGTTACATTTTTTATAATGTTCTATTTAACAGGTTATTTAGATCATGGTGATCAGAATGTTGTTTGTGAACTATGTCACGCTAAATTATGGAAAGACGAATCTTCGAGAGGCAATAAAACAGGGGATAAAATCTTTTCTCTATGTTGTGGTTATGGGAAGGTAGAACTACCTCCTTTAAAAGAGCCACCGCAAAGTTACAAACAACTTTATGTTGAGATAAATTCTAAAAGCAAATACTTCATGAAAAACATTCGTCGTTACAATTCAATGTTTTCATTTACATCGATGGGTGGGAAAGTTGATTCATCCATCAATAAAGGAAACGCACCATACATATTCAGGCTTAGCGGTCAAAATTATCATAGTATCGGAAGCCTTCTCCCTACGAATGGATGTCAACCAAGATTTTCTCAGTTGTACATATATGATACCGAAAATGAAACATCATATAGACAGAAATGTTTCGGGTATACAT